CCCCTGAGCCTCCTGTTCCCCAGGCTGAGCCCACACAGCTCCCTCAGCCACTGCTCCCAGGACTGACTCTGCACACCCTTCCCCAGCTCCATCCCCTGTCCTGGGACACCTCCAGCCCCTGCATGTCTCTCCTGCAGAGAGGGCCCAGAACTGGTCCCAGCACTCCTGGGGCCTCTCCAGTGCCAGCACAGAGGGACAATCCCTGCCCTGAGCCTGGAGCCACACCATGGCTCATACAGCCCAGGAGCCACTGACCTTCTGGCACACCTGGGCACACTGTGGCTCATGTCCAGAGTCACCTCTGACACTTACCCAGGACAGCACTGACATGTTCTGGCAGAACTCTGGAGATGCCTTCCAGCAATCCTTCCTCAGCAATGATGGCAAAAGCCTTCACATGCCCCGAGCGCAGGACAGGAAGCAGGGAGGGACTGAACATTTTGGCTGGGGTCAGCAACGCATCACCTGCAAACAGAAGGGCCAAGGCAATCAATTGGTTTAAAAGGGCTTGAGGTGTTCAGAATCACAGAAGGTTTGGGTTGGAAGGACCTTAAAGCTCATCTAGTTCCAACCAAGGACCCCTTCCACGAGCCGAGGCTGCTCCAAACCCCCATCCTTGGCAGCACCTGGTCATGAAAACCCCTTGAGAACAAGGACATCATACCTAATGTCTTGTCCCCACAGCTGCCAGGTGCTGGTGAGGAGTAGTGCAGGGAGGACATGAGGAGAATCTTCCTCACAGTGCCAAAGTCACGGCCGTGAATCCCAGGAGAGGCCAATCCAATGAGCACATCTTCCTCCTCAGCTCTCTGCAGCCCCAGGAGCATCTGCCCTCGCTCCACTGCTCCCACCACGAAGCCAGACAGGTCATACTCTCCAGCAGAAAACAAGCCAGTGACCTCTGTCACCTCCCTGCCTGGTGGGGACAGAACCAGCCTGAGGATCTTTTTTGTTAACTTCATAGAATCAGAGTGGTTTTGGCTGAAGGGACATCACAGATCATCCAGTGCCACCCCCTGCCCTGGGCAGGGACACCTCCCACCAGCCCAGGCTGCTCCAAGCCCCATCCAACCTGGCCTGGAACACCCCCAGGGATGGAGCAGCCACAGCTGCTCTGGGCAACCTGTGCCAGTGCCTCAGCACCTCCCAGGGAGCAATTCCTGCCCAATATCCACCTGTCCCTGTCCTCCTCCAGCTTAAGGCCATTATTTTAAGGCCAGTTCTAACTTACAGCACCTCCCAAAGCCCAGGCTGCTCCAAGCCCCATCCAACCTGGCCTGGAACACCCCCAGGGATGGAGCAGCCACAGCTGCTCTGGGCAACCTGTGCCAGTGCCTCAGCACCTCCCAGGGAGCAATTCCTGCCCAATATCCACCTGTCCCTGTCCTCCTCCAGCTTAAGGCCATTATTTTAAGGCCAGTTCTAACTTACAGCACCTCCCAAAGCCCCAGGAGATCCAAGAGAGCGGCCATGCAGTGCAGCCTAAGAAGAACATTCAGATACATCTTAAAAGTCCTTCTTGGTTTCTTACTTCACCTCAAGACTCCAATAAACCAAATATTCAGCAAGTTACTGAAAGAAGCTTCTTCTTCCTCTTCCCCTTCTTCCTCTTCCTCCACTTCTTCCTCCTCTTCTCCTTTTTCCTCTCCTTCTCTCCTTCTCCGTTTCCTTCTTCCTCTCCTTCTCACTTCTCTCTATGATTATCACCCTCATCATTTCATGCTACTTACCTATCACCTCCCTGCTAGGACTGAGCATCAGAGAGGGAGTAAAAACACTCACCCAACCTGTGCCAGTGCCTCAGCACCTCCCAGGGAGCAATTCCTGCCCAATATCCACCTGTCCCTGTCCTCCTCCAGCTTAAGGCCATTATTTTAAGGCCAGTTCTAACTTACAGCACCTCCCAAAGCCCCAGGAGATCCAAGAGAGCTGCAGGGCCATGCAGCCTAAGAAGAACATTCAGATACATCTTAAAAGTCCTTCTTGGTTTCTTACTTCACCTCAAGACTCCAATAAACCAAATATTCAGCAAGTTACTGAAAGAAGCTTCTTCTTCCTCTTCCCCTTCTTCCTCTTCCTCCACTTCTTCCTCCTCTTCTCCTTTTTCCTCTCCTTCTCTCCTTCTCCGTTTCCTTCTCACTTCTCTCTATGATTATCACCCTCATCATTTCATGCTACTTACCTATCACCTCCCTGCTAGGACTGAGCATCAGAGGGGGAGTAAAAACACTCACCCTTGAGGAGTGTGGGCCCTGCAGTTGTGTTCTCCTCTGCCCAAGGCTAAAGCAGCAAGAACTGGCTCCAAAAGCACAAACACCTTCCCTCCATGCTGACCCTCTCCACAGAGAACAAAGAGTTTAACCCCAAAGCTCAACAGGTTTCTCCACCACACAGAAACCACCAACTCCAGTGCCACATTCTGCCTCTCAAATCCATTTCACTAGTGATCATTCCACATCAAGAACCCTCAAATCCCAGAGGAGAGCAGTGTCCATACCCAGGAAAGCACATCCTGCAGCTCTGCAAGCTTCAGCTAGTCCCTCCTGGATGGCTTCAGTCACTTCAGCATCCAGTTTGCCACAGGCTAAACGGCCGAGGAAGAAGAGAGGCTCTGCCCCCTGGGCCAGGAGGTCATTGACACACAGGGCCACCAGGTCCTGGCCCACAGTGTCGTGTCTCTTACACACCTGGGCAACCTGCAAACATGGTGGGGACAGAAGCCACGAAAAACTCAGCTAGGAATCAGCCAGATAAGCAGAAATCTCCTTTTCCCTGAAAAATCACTGCAGAACACACATGGGAGAGATAACCTGGTGTGTTATCTGGTAAAAATCAAGAGCAAACAGCTCATTTTCTGGCAGACAAAAAAATGACAAAATCTATTTTTTAACATTAAATTAAACTCTAGTTCCATCTACCCTGAAATTGTCATTTTGGGTTGGGTTTTTGTTTGCTTCTTGGAATATTGTCATAGAATCACAGAAGGTTTGTGTTGGAAGGACCTCAAAGCTCATCCCATCCCACTATGCCCTGGGCAGGGACACCTCTCACCAGCCCAGGCTGCTCCAAGCCCCATCCAGCCTGGCCTGGAACACTCCCAGGGGTGGAGCAGCCACAGCTGCTCTGGGCAACCTGTGCCAGTGCCTCAGCACCTCCCAGGGAGCAATTCCTGCCCAACAGAGGGGACATGGTGCCACTGGCTTTTAAAACACTCTGGGGAGATAGGAGCTTTGCTACAGCTGACTTGCAAGTTACCTGCAGTTTGGGTCCAAGGCCTTTAGTTTGGGAGACCAGGATGGGATCACCATAGCCAGAGGCTTTCAAGTCAAAGAAACCAGCAAGGCCTCCTGCTTCAGAGCGACAGCCTGGAGGGACAGGCACAGCAGGGGGAGGCTTAAAGGGAAACAAACACCCCAAAGCCTCACCAAGACAGTACTGCAAACCATCCCAGAATCACTGAGGGGGGGAAAAGCCCTCTGAGACCACCAAGACCAACCTGTGACCCATCAGCACTTGTCAGCTAGCCCAGAGCACTGAGTGCCACATCCTGAGCTCCTTGGACACCTCCAGGAGTGGTGACTCCATCACCTCCCTGGGCAGCACATCCCAGTGCCCGACAGCCCTTTCCATGGGGAAATTCCTCCTGATGGCCAACTTGACCCTCCCCTGGCACAGCCTGAGATGTTTCCTCTGGTCCTGTCCCTGTTCCCTGGGAGCAGAGCCTGAGCCCACCTGGCTGCACCTCCTGGCAGTTGTGGAGAGCAGAAGATCCTCCTGAGCCTCCTGTTCACCAAGCTTTTTTTAAATAATTTTTTATTTTATTTATTTTAATCCATTTATTTTACTCTGTTTTCTCTATTCTATTCTTTACTGCTCTGCACCTTGATCAGTGCAATCACCTCCATAGTTATCCACTAGTTAAGCATAAGGGTTGACAAGAAGGACATGTGAGTTTCCTTTCCTTCTGGTGGCTCCAGCACAGCTTCCCAAGCTCAATTTCACCTCCTGGGGAGTCAACAAAGCTCCTTTTCCTCCAATACACTCAAGAAATTCAAAGCTTCTTCCCAGTCTTACCTGCTCTGGTACCACTTACAACAGATGTTGGTGGCAGATGAAGCAGAACATCCCTGGTTAGAGCCTCCACACGTCTCTCCTTGTACATCAGACCCCTGTGGAGAGCAAAGGAGGTGGTGGAAGCAGCAGTGATGTCTTCTGCAAGGAACATCACACAACAGGGACAATTCTGGGGGTGAAAATGTGGCCTAGCATCTCTTTGCTGACATACAGAGAGTGCTGGAGGAGCCTCACGCCGCGGCGGCCAATGTCCTTCCTGAAGGTGGCCCCCTTGAAGTGGATGGCTGCTACACCCCTGTTGGCTTCTCCCAGGGCTTTCACCAGGTCCTCCTCAACTGCGGTGACGGAGAGGACTCTGCCACCACTTGTCACCACTCTGCCATCCTTCAGCGTTGTGCCACCATGGAACACCTGCAGCCCCAGCTCCTTGGCTTGCAGCAGCCCTGCAAGGGCAAAGGTGAGGTGGGTGAGGCACTGGCACAGGTTGCCCAGAGCAGCTGTGGCTGCTCCATCCCTGGGAGTGTGAACTTTCAGGTAGGCTCCCTTCAGGCACTCCCTTTAGGTCACCCCAAAGCTTCTCTTCTCCAGGCTGAACAACCCCAACTCTCAGCTTTTCCTCCCAGCAGAGCTGCTCCGTCCTCTGAGCACCTTGGTGCCTCCTCTGGGCTCTCTCCAACAGCTCCATGTCCTTCCTGGGTTGGGGACCCCAAAGTAAGGACACAGATCACAGAGGAACAGAACTAAGGGTTCCAGGAGCCACAACAGGACAAACCACCACCCTGTGCCAGGGAAAGCTCTGCTGTACCTTGGAATGGTGAATGATTTCTGCAGGGCTTTCCTGTATGGAATCACAATCCATAGCCATTCACTGCCTGGGTTCTCTCCCTGCCATTAAACCATCCCTGCTAGTTTCACCTCAGCATTGCCCCAGCTCCTCTGTCCTGCCCAGGACTCCCCACACCACCTGGATTTGGAGCTCCACACACACTCACATGTGGGGGATCTGCTTGAGGAAAATCCAATTGTTCAGGGTTTGGCTTTTAGATCCCTGCTTGCAGGAGAGGCTAAGGGAAGAGAAGGAAAGTGCTGCCATCACCTGGAAACAGCACAACCAAACAGGTTTATCCTCACTGCCAGCTCAGCAGAGTCTGAGCAAGCAAAAAGGACCTGAACCCTGCAGAAGGTCTCACTGACACAGCACTGCCCCAACAAGGGCTGCAGTGGAAATACAACTCCTTCCCAGCATATTTGAAGGAATACTCTGGAATAAAGTGTTTGTTAAGCCATTAAACTCATAGAATCAGATCCTGGGTTGGAAGAGACCCACAAGGATCACCAAGTCCAACCCCTGCCCTGCACAGGACACCCCAATAACCCACCATGTGCCTTGGATAAAAATGTGGGAATCACCGCAAAAAACGGGAAAAAAACCCCCTAATAAACCACAAAAACTCTGAAGTGGAGTATGATAATAAAATACAGGATTGAACTTCACTGTTTTGACTGGTTTATGTGATTCACAAGTTAGTTACACCATCTCACTCCTAATAGGATGGAAATCAGCTTGAGCAAAGTGAAGCGAAGGAGTTGAGTGGCATAAGGATTTGTTCTGCTCTGTGGTTTGGGTTTTTCCAGGCAGAGAAATGCAGAGTTCCCCAGGACATCACTGACAAACCAAAACAAATCCAGTGGGACAACTGGGAGAGGAGAACATGAGAGCAGAAATCCTTCCAGGGGAGAAATCACCACAACACAACCTTCTCCCTGGGTGATGGAGGGTGACTGAATGCTGCCAAAAAAACAGGTGGCCTTGGTGCAGGGACTACACTGAGACCAAACACCAAACAACCTCCCAGAGTTACCTGTTACCTCCATGCCCTTGGTATAGTCTCCTGGGTACCCTGGGCTGGCCATGACCACACACACAGCTGTGCTGTTCTCTGACCAGGCTGGCATGCAGCTGCAGAGTTTGCCATCAATTGTTGCTTGAATCACTTCATAAAAATCGTTTTTCAGCAGAGGAAGAATCACCTGTAGAAAATTTTCACAGCAATAGAAGTTCATTTTTATTTTGCTGACTTCAACTTAGGGAAATATCAGTTAAAAAAATCAAGTCTCTATGTGCCAAACCATGTGGAAGTTGTGGGTGAGAACTAATTTGCTGCATCTTTTTTGCTACAGAAACAACTTTAGAAACATGAAATATGTTGTGTAGAAGGAACAGGAATTTAGGATTCTCCTATTCTGCTTCTATCCAGGAAACTAGAATCTGAGGAATCACAGAACCATCACGGTTGGAGG